CCCCCACCTTCCTTCTGACTCACCAGGAGCAGGACACACACTCTGAAATGGCTTCCTGGTATTGGGAGTATTGTCAGCCCAGGCTTTAGCAAAGAAATTGGAAAGGGAAAAGGGGTTGAATGGTTCCATTTCACTGGGGACAGGGAGGAAGACAGGTAATGGAAAGGGTGAACAGGAAGGAAAACAGATAAAGGAAAGGGTGAACAGGAAGGAAGAGGTTGCTGGTAAGTCAGACGGAAGCAGCTAGTTACAAAAGACGGCTTAGAAGCTCTTTGGTAATTTTGTTGTGTGTGTCTTAGGGCTTTAGGGCAGTGAAGTGTTCCAAAGTGATCCCCCTTGGAGGACCCGTTTCTCTTTCATTAGGCTGCTTCTGTTATTTTGCTCGCCAGACGCTTCCAGCTGGAAGCAGTTTGTTCTAGACATTTGAAACCTATTCCAAGATTCAATTCCCAGGGCTAAGAAACTAGAAGCCAGGAACCTGCAGTGGATGGTATGCACCGTATTCAGTTTTACACCGGGTTCAGTCATTTGAGAGAAATGTGGTTCCCTTAAGTCTAGGCTGGATGGAATGGCTCCCGATGGCAGCCCTAGGAGTCCTAAGTGAGTGGGCAGAGTGGAGTGTGGGTGGGTGGCCTTTGCCAAGACATCAAGGATTTGAGGCCTAAAAATGCAAACAACTTGGGAAGTAATATGAACCAACCAGCCTGAGGGAAGGAAGGCTAGTGCCAAGCTGTTGACTTAGTGTCACAGGGATCCTCGATAAAATCCCCACATGGGCCTTCAATCCCCGGCACTGCCAAGAATTGATTTTTGCTCCTCATGGAAGCAGTCAAAATGAACACAATTTCAGTATCATTCTTAGGACAGGCATCTCAGTGTTTCTGAGCTGCTTTCTATGAGAGGCACTGCTTAGCTGCTCTAAAAATCCAGAAATGTCTCCATAGCTTACACTATACAGTTAGGTTAAGAAATCCAGGTTGCTCGATTTAAGTGTATTTAAATAGATGAGAGAGACACTTTTCCTTTTGTAGGCCAAAGGAGGCAAAAGGAAGTTGCTTCCGAATTTCACTCATAATTTCTGCCCTGAGGAAAGTTGTAACAGAGCATTCTGTTTTACGGATCCACCGCATTTTGCCTATCCATTCATCTGTAGATGTAGACACCTGGGTTGCTTCCACATTTGGCTGTTGTAATACCACTATGAATATGAGTGTACAAATATCTCTCTGAGCCCCTGCTTTCAATTCTTTGAGGGTATGCCCGTAAGTGGAATTGCTAAATCATATAATAGTTCTACTTTTTTTTTTTGAGACAGAACCTAACTCTGATGACTAGGCTGGAGTGCAATGGCATGATCTCGGTTCACTGCAACCTCCACCTCCTGCGTTCAAACGATCCCCCTGCCTCAGCTTCCCGAGTAGCTGGGACTCCAGGTGAGCACCACCACCCCTGGCTAATTTTTGTATTTTTTTTTAGTAGAGAATGGTTTTGCCATGTTGGCCAGACTGGTCTCAAACTCCTAACCTCAGGTAATCTGGCTGCCTTGGCCTCCCAAAGAGCTGGGATTACAGGTGTGACCCACCTCACCTGGCCTATTTTTAAATTTTGAGGAACTACCAGACTGGTTTCCATAAGAGAGGCCGCTCCTTTAACAAGCTTTCCCCAAAGCCTCAATCAGTGAGTTTTTTTTTTTTTTTTCTTTGTTTTTTTTGAGACGGAGCTTCGCTCTTGTTACCCAGGCTGGAGTGCAATGGCACGACCTCGGCTCACCGCAACCTCCGCCTCCTGGGTTCAGGCAATTCTCCCGCCTCAGCCTCCCGAGTAACTGGGACTACAGGCACGCGCCACCATGCCCAACTGATTTTTTGTATTTTTAGTAGAGATGGGGTTTCACCATGTTGACCAGGATGGTCTCGATCTCTTGACCTCGTGATTCACCCGCCTCGGCCTCCCAAAGTGCTGGGATTACAGGCTTGAGCCACCGCGCCCGGCCCAATCAGTGAGTTTGATTTCCATCTCATTTCTACATTGGGTCACCTGACCACCTCTAGCTGCAAGGGAGTCTGAGAACCTATGTATTTTTCAACCAGGCACAGAACTTCTTAAAACAAATGCTATACTCCGTGGGTAAGGAAGAAGAAGAGAATGAATTTTATGGGACAACTAGCAGCCTAAGGGGAAATGACAACAGTAGAGGGCTTCAGGTAGTCAAGAGGCATTGTGGGAGGATTTGTGCTTTAGAAGACTCTCTCTGGCAGCTGTGGACTGAGGAGTCAAAGCCAGCAGAATCAGTTAAGAGCTTTCAACAACAATCCAGTGAGGAGTGATGGGGGCTCATGTGAGGATAGGGTGGCAGTAGGGTATTCAGGAAAGGGATGGATTCCTAAGATATTCTGGGGCGTCCCTTCATGCCTGCCTGGATACTGAAAGTGGGAAGGAGGGAGGGGTGGGAGGGAGGGAGGGAGGGGTGAGTCCAGGTTTTGAGCATAGTCCTTCCTATATATCTAGAAGGAGAAACAGGTTTCGAGGACAGGTGATAGTTCAATTTTGCACATGTTGAATCTGAGGAGCCTGCAGGATGATAGGTAGATAACAAGCGGAATAAAGCTTGTCCCAATCTGGGTCTTTCGGGATTGGTTTGTGATCTCCTTGGGGAACTTGAGGCAAAACTGGAGATAGCACATTCTGAGTCATCTACTCCTGTGCTGCCCAGGAAGCAGGTTGTGGGGAGGTGGGGGAGGTGAGGGGTGGGAGGAATAGAGGTGAGAGGGATGAGGTTGTTGTCCCCAAAAAATGCATGAAGACAACCTTCCATCCTGAGTTTTTCTGGTTCAGATGGGAATTTCTGTGTAGCATCCCCATTACTGAGTTCCCAGGGACAATCAGACAAACATTCTCTAAATCAAGGAGACCCCTGCATGCTGGGATGATCATTCTAGCTATCTGTCCAGAGCCAAGGGTCTGAGTCTCAGATGAGCTGGTTCTATACACATGCTATCTGTGCCCTGCCCAAGATATTTGCCCTTCCTAGGGGATCAGAGCCCTCTCAATCTGCTGCTTCCAGGAATGAGAGTGAATACTTGTTTTCTTCCCTCCTGACCTCTGCTTTTGACCAATTATTTTAAAATCTCCCCCCACAGACACGCTATAAACTGCTCTCTGCTCTTCCTTCACTGGCCGTCATGGCTGAGTGATGCCAGACTATAAATCCCCTAGGACAGGACCCGTGTCATCACCACAGGGCACAAAGCACAGGACTGACTCTTGCTGAAGGGAAGGAAAGCAAATTCCTCTAGAGCTGTTCAAGGCCGCCTCAGGGGTCCTGCAGCAGGGCTTCTGGCTCCCTCAGCCCAGGGACACCTCTCCCTGTGATGCTTCTTTCTCAGGTTGCTGGGCCAAGTGGGGGCTACTCATCCTGAGACCTGTAAGGCCAAACCCAGGCTCAACAAGGCTGGACAGGGCCTGGCAGGGTAGCGGGGAGCAGTATGGATCGGTTCAGAGTTCCTGGAGGTCATCAGGGCCCAGACAACTGGGCTTCTCTGTTGCCATCCCTAGGAGCAGTCGCCAATCACACAGACATAGCCACTGTGTGATTCAAAAACACCGTCTGCATGTAGAGTCAAATACAGAGTTGCTTGAATGTGTTCACAAATATACACACCCATGCACCACCACCGCTACCCATACACCACATGCACACTTAAATTCAGGGGGCAAATCCTGCTTCCTCCCTTCATAGCTGTGTGCCCTCAAGTGACTTAATCTCTTTGTATGTTAATTTCCATATCTGTAAAAATGAGGACAATAATGGCATTCACCTCAATGTTAGTTGTTGTGAAGATTAAATGAGAATAAACGGTAAAGAGCTTACAAGAGTGGCAACACCTGCAGAGAGACACACGTTTTCATACTTATTCCCAAGCCCTGCCCAGCACTGCCGCTGGCATTGGTGGTGAGCCTGGCAGCAGTACAAGGTTGGAGTCCCTTCATCCCGCTGAGCCTTGGTTTTCTCATCTGTGAAATGGGAATAATAATATCTACGTGGAGGGGCTGTATGGAGGGACTAAAGAGGCCCAGCATGGAAAGCTCCTAGCCTAACTCTGGCCCATAAAAGCCTCCCTACATTGTAGCTCTCACTGTCCCTATGAAGAAGAACAGATCCAAGAACAGGTGGAGGGATGGGCTTTACCACGGCAAAATCTGGACAGACCCGACCTCCATCTCCTCCCACGCTGGAGCGGGGCCGTGTAACAGGGTCCAAGGCCACCGGGTGTCAGGCCTGCTGGAGCCAGGTCTGGCCAGCAGTCTGGGCTGGGGCTGGGGGCAGGGCTGGTCGGGTGGCCGTGGGTGGAAGGAAAAGAGGAAAAGCAGCTCAGTGGAAATTGTCCTGCGGTTGGCTCAGGCGCCCACGACACTGTATTTATAGAGAGCTCCCCGCAGCTCTTAATTTCGCGCAGTCGGGTTAACCCTTTCTGGGCTGTGGCGCCAGCATGGTATGGAGGAAGAACCCAGGACTGGGGCCCGACAGCAGGATTCCAGCCGTGTTCCGCTGCCAGTCGATGACCAGTTAGTCACCCGTCCCCTCTCGCGGAAAGGAAGATTCGGCTCTTGGAAGCGTGGGAACGGGGTGGGGGGGTGGACAGCGCCCGGGGGTTTTCCCCGCCAGGGTCAGGCCTGGGGGCGGGGCGGGGCGGGGTCCAGTCGGGGTGCTCTGCCCAGCCGGGTGGTTCAGGCCTCGGGCCGCAGCCGCCGCCGTGGGGCCAATCCAGCCTTGGGGGCGCACCTGAGCCGCCTTCCCGGGTCCCCGGCGGAGTCCCCGGCCCGCCCCGCCCCTCGGACTCCCCGGGCCGCCCCCGGTCCCCTTTCGGGCCCTGCCTCGCGGCGGCGGCGGCAACATCGGTTGCATCTGGCCCAGGCTGGGCCGCGTCCGGAGTCCCGGAGTCGGCGCGGCGCGGTGGGAGCTGGTATGCGCGGGCGGCGCGGGGTGGGGCGGCCTTTGTCTGGGGCGGGTCGGGCCAGGAGTCCCCGGAGGCCCGCACCTTCCAGCGCAGGGCAGCCGGAGCCACGCCGGGGCACCCTCCCTCCGGGCTCCCGCTCCCAGGCCCTCTCCCGGGTCCCGGCGGCCTCCGCGCACAGGAGTCCCGGGAACCGCGGGCGCGGCTCCAGCCCTGGAGCTCTGGGATCAGCCGGGAGCTGGGGGGCGCCCGGATCCAACTCCGTCCACCTCTTCCCTCGGGCTGAGAGGGTCCCGGGCGCCGTCTGACCTGCCGACCCCGGAAGCCGCGGAGCCGGGCGGGGTAGGTGAATGCACTTTCGGAGGCCCCGGGTCTGGAGCGGGCACGAGGGCAGATCTGTCCCGTGTAGAAGCGTAACGAAGCCGCCGGCCGGGGCTGGGGGGTCAGCGGGGGTCTCCTGGGCCCTGCGGAGGAAAACGCCCAGCGCGGGGAGGGGAGCGGCGGGGGGCGGAGGGAGGGCGAGGGGTTGGGTGGGTCCACTCCGCGGGGCCCTGCAGAGCGAAGGTGTGGGCGACGGGGGCACTTCCACAGGCAGGCGTGGGCATGAGGGGTCAGGTTCCGGGAAGGACAGGTAGAGACGGCTGGCAGGGGCCAGGGGGTGAGGAGGTGTTGGGGGTGGGGAGGGGACCGGGATGGGCAGTTTGGGCTTGGGAAGCCTCGGGAAGGTGGGGGTGAGGTGGGATGGAGAGGAGATGCCGGTGACGGTGGAGGAAGGTGGGGACTCCAATGGAGGCACACTAGAAGGGAGGAGATTAAATCACAGCGCCCAGGGCCCTCCCTGCCACCGTTTAGCTTGCGAATTGGCAGGTTTGGCCGCCTAAGGCAGGGGATTTATTTCTAAGCCAAACCTGCCCTAATGAGAAAAGCGTGATGGATGACTCAGATATGGGATCTATCACTGAGGGAAAACATTAAGCGAATACTAAAGCAAAAAAGAAGTGTGTGTGTGTGTGTGTGTGTGTGTGTGTGTGTGTGTGTGTGTGTGTGAGACTGGGGGGGGTGCTATTTGTCTTAATTCAGAAGAACTATTTACCTTCAAATTGGATGTGGATAATTGTAAATGAATCTGATGTCTTCATTAAATTAAAGCCCCGGGTCCTTTTCTTACAAGCATGTCTTTAGCAGTTAGTTTCTATATTAGAAAGTAATGAAGCTGCTTTGTCTTTAAGAGAGTTCTTTATATAGTGCGACCTCCTCTAGTTCCCTCTGGGCTCCCAGAAGTCCCTAGGAAATCTGATGCTGTGCAGCCTTCCTGGTAGTGTGGGGGCCTGCAAATAGGTGGGACAGTTTGAGGCCGAGAGGAATTAAAGTCTAAACTTGAAGTCTAAACCTGTCCAATGGGTTGGGCTGATCTGAGTGCAGGGCAGGGTGGAGGGCTATGGGGCTGTAGGGTATGAACTGGCTCATATTTCCAAGGAAGTATTTTGGGTGAGCACCTACGTTTCCCTGATATCTGGAGTTCTTGAGTTTAAGCACTAACACTTAAGGTAACTGTCGATCATGGAAATTTACATACATCACAGTCAGCTGACTGGAGTGTCCTGATGTGAATGCAATTTTCCTTCATGACTTTGGGTCAGCCCTGTGGACCTCAGTTTTTGTAGTGAGCGGCTGTATGGCAAGGGGACTCTGGCCAGGAGAGAGCTTTGTTCCTGCCTTAAGTGTTTCAGTAATGCTGTCTGGATCTCATGACTGACCTTTGGAGTTCTTCCATGTGGTTTCTCCTGTCTGCAGTAAGCTTTCCAGCGTACTCTAGACTCCTGTGCTGTGAGACATGAGCTGGTCAGAGGTGATGAGGAGCCTGTGTTAACATAAGTCTCAAGTGAGGAGGGGTGTTGGAATCTGAGGACCCTGTTTTCCTTCCTGTCCCCTCTTCACTCAGTCCAGGCACTCGATGGAAGCAGGTCAGCTGAATGTCTCATGCTCAGATACCTGACAGCTGGGTTGGGTGCTTTAATATTTATGGAAAGGACAGTTATAGAAATAGAGTCCCTTCAAAGTAGTCCTCTGGGGTGTCTGTGTCCTTATTAGTTTGATTCCTCCTGTGAGACTTCCTCCATCCTTAAACTTTGGCCTTCTCTGGAGGAGTACATCTTCATTCTTTGGAGTAGGATTTGAGTTTGACATGGAACTGGACAATGCTGTTTGGAATCAGAGAGGCAGCGTGATAAGAGAGCCATGAGTTGGAATCCCACGGCACCCAAAGAGACGCCTAAGAAGTGTTGTAGAACAAGTGACTGGATGGCACTTGGTTGGACATATGGTGTTTGGGGACTGTGTAGAAAAATGACCAAATCCAAGCAGCCTCTGAGATTATGTCCACATGGGAGCTGTTAAGCTGTGGATCTGAGTCACAGGGTCAGGGAAAGAGGAAAAATGGCAGGTAGGGCGATGTTACTGCCCATGAGCTTATCCGCTGAGTGGGTGGTGACTTCGCATTGCCATCCTTTCCTCACACCCCCAGGGAAGTCCACCAGCAAAAGGGGAAGGGCACGCTCAGAGCCTGGGGGAGGGGCAGAGGGGTGGGGAGTGGTCTACATGATATTTGAGAAATTTCCTTTGGTCTTGTTGTCTCAGAATGGACCCCACACCTGGAAGAGGGCCACATGTGCTGCTATGCAACCCTTGCCTGCCACCCTCAGTTCTGCTGCCCCTGCAGTATGTCAGATAGGAGCCTTGGGTTTTCAGGTTTGGGGGTGGGTAGGGCTGTGCTGGTGGCTAGACATTATCTCATTTAATCCTCATAGTCATCCTATGAGGTAGGGTATCATGAACACCATTGTACGGTTGGGGAAACTGAGGCCCAGAAAGGGCAAGTCACATGCCCAAAGACACACAGCCGGCAATTGGTGGAGCTAGGCTGTTGTCTGCTTCCAGAACTGGCTTTTTCTGCTGCTCTGGAGGCAGGACAGGTTTTAGCCCTCTTTCTGGAGTCTGGCAAGATGTGCCAAGGGTTCCCATAGGGAGGCAGAGAAGACTCATCTAGGGAACCAGAGAAAGGGCAGGCCTGACCTGGGTGACCCAGTGACTAGTGGCCTTCACGGCACAGTAAGAGCCTTTGCTGAGGGTTCTTCTCTTCCAGAGCCTTGGCCTTCATCATGCTGGGGCTTTCGGGAATCTCTCCTCCACCCTTCAGTCCTGACCATTGCTCCTAGACAACTGCCCCCATTCTCGCTTTCATTCTCTTTGTGGTCCAGAGAAGGGTTGCCTGCTCCACACCCCTGATGCCATTAGGCATTTGACCTTCCCTAGGCATAGGGAGCATCATCTGTGGGAAGAGGAGTGAGAAGCATTTCTTGCCGGGAGCCTTGGAGCAGGGAAAGACACTGTCTCTGGGAGGCAGGGGTCCCAGGTTACCCTAAAGGTAATGCAGGCTTCTCTCTTGTGGGAGACATTGAAATGTGTCCTGGTGGGAATGCTCTGTGCTGGGGGATGCAGCAGCAGGAGGGTAGGAGCCCATGGTACTTGGAGCTGTGACTGTGCATCTGGGAAGAGGAAGGGGCCGAGGACCATGAGAACGAGTTAGAGCCAGAGATGGAGGCGAGTTTTGCATTTGCTACTTTGGAGCTGGGGCAGTAGTGGGGTTCTAGGTGAAAAGTGGGGACACAGAAGGAGTAATGGTCCCAGAGACCCAGATGTGTGGCCTGACAGAGGAGGTTCTTGGCCAGGGAGAGCAGGGTAGGGGCAAAGTGTTCGCTCAGTGCAGAGGCCTCATCTAGGAGGCCTTGTCCCCATGTTTGCGGCAATCGTAACAGCAATACTAGTACTGCAGTTTTGGTACTGGGCACTTTACTAAGTCCTCTCTCTCTATTGTCTTATTCTCATAGCAGCCCTGGGGGGTAGGGATTGTTACCCCCATTTTAGAGATTTGGAATTGGGTCTCAAATATGTTAAGTCATTTAAACTTGGTCATGTGTTCAGCGAGGCATCGGTGTCAGGATTTGAACTCAAGGCTGCCTGCTCCTGAGCTCATGCTGTACCTTGGGCAGGCAAGGCAGCCTGATGATTCCGTTCAACAAGTGAGGAATCCAGGCTGAGGGGCACTCATCAGCTGGTGGCTGATGATTGAACATGGGACCTTGGGCAGCCGGCCACCACTCTCTGGGCACAGATTTCCATCTGTACAATGGATGTGGAGCAAGGCACTGGACCAGGTAAAGCCTAAGAGGCCTCCTAGCTCTGAGGACTGGTGGAGACTGCTACACTCCTCAGAGGACATCCCTGGGAGACCCAGAGGAGTGTGGTGCTTAGATGGAGAGGGGTCGGCAGTTATTCTGCTAGGCTGAGCCTCTTTCAGGGTAGAAACCAAAGGAATTTGGAGGCAAGGAGGCATTTAGGCAGATCACATCTGGAGAAGATGCACATTTCCTTGAGTGCAGTCTGGAAAGGCTTCTGGAAAGGATAGGATTTCCAGGTATGTTTGCGTGGGCACCTAGCAGGACTCAGCAGATATTGAGTGAATGCAGATGTGTGTGCTGGGGGCCTGCCACTGTCAGACCTGAGATCTGCCCTCTGATGAGGTCTCGTGTGCTTTCATCCCTTTCCTTCCCCTCCCCATTCCCCTTGTTGCCGTCGCTTCTTTTGACTGAACCTCCTCTGGACCCAACGTAGCTTTCCCTTTTTTTTTTTTTTTTTTTTTTTTTTTGAGACACAGTCTCGCTCTGTGCTCTGTCACACAGCTGGAGTGCAACGGTGCAATCTTGGCTCACTGCAACCTCTGCCTCCTGGGTTCAAGCAATTCTCTTGCCTCAGCCTCCTGAGTAGCTGGGACTATAGGCGCACGCTACCACACCCAGCTAATTTTTTGACTTTTTATTTTTAGTCAAGACAGGGTTTTACTGTGTTGCCCACGCTGGTCACAAACTCCTGAGCTCAGGCAATCTGCCCGTCTTGGCCTCCCAAAGTGCTAGGATTATAGGCGTGAGCCACTGTGCCCAGACGGCTTTCAGTTTTTTGAGGGCTCTGTGCCTCCCATGATATTGTGTGTGTGTGTGTGTGTGTGTGTGTGTGTGTGTTTGTGTGTGTACACGTGTGCCCACAGGCATGTGTAGGTGAGTTTCGCAGCCCCTGCACATGCCGTAGTTCTGGGAAGATCTCGGCCCTGCTTTTCTGACCAGCCCTGATGACATACTGCTGTCCTGACTCACACAGAAATCACTTGGAGAGGAAGAATTGATTCCTGCTCTTGGGTGGGATCACGGGACTGGGGAGTGGTGCCCAGGGGACAGCCTCGAACACAAAAGGCCAAAACTGACTCAGATTATCAGGAAAAAGGAAGGCGA